ATTTAAAACCAACTACTTCTGCATCTGCCAAGGCACTTTCACGCGATAATACCAGTGAGGACCTGCGTAAAGGTCTTAGCCAACAAGCTGAAGAGCGCAAGAAACTACGTGAGCAGAAACATGTACTTGCCGCACAGCAACGTGAAATGAGAGAAAAAGAACGTACTGAACGTATGGCTAAGCAAGCTAAGGAACGTGAGGAAAAACGTATTAAGAAACAACTTGAAATTGAGAAAAAGAAACGTGAACAAGAGGATATACAACTTAAGCTACGTCAACAGGAAGAAGCCGCAGCTGAGGCAGCTGCCATGAAGCAACGAGTCGCAAAAGCTAAAGCTATTGCCGAACAGGAGCAAGAACACTTAGCACAAATTGAAAAAGCCAAACAGGGCACGCTGAGCAAGAAGAAAATGATGCCTCCACCAAATCCCAAACCAGAAGTAAAATCGTCATACACATTTGATATGTTACATGAAGATGATTCAACAGATGATGAGGACAAAGTTTCTTATAAGCGACCACCACCACCAGAATGGAGCAAAAGTAAGAAAAATTATTTTTAATTATTATTTTATAAGATATAATTTTTATTTTTGTTATAATTGTGATTATTGTTATAATTGCTTTTATTGATATAATTATTATTGGTACAATTATTATTATTGGCATAATTATTATTATTGATATAATCATTATTACTTCTTTATTAATAATTTTGTAATGAAAAATTTAAAAATTTTTACTAATTTTATAGGTACAACTCGTGGTCCTGCCATTCGTATGCAAGAACATTGCTGGTCTGAAATTATTGATAACATGTTTTCAGTCGAACCAGTTACGGTTAACTTAAAGGAAATCTTTCCAAACATTTCGTCTCAGCACTTAAAACGTAATTCCAGTGTAATGTGGTCAACTCCTCCACGTTATTCAGAGTTACCAAAATATTAAAATTACTTACTTTTTATATATTCATTAACTTTTCTTTATTATATTGTTTCTTATTAAAAAAATAAAATTTGTATTAATTAAAAATATAAAATTGCTAAATTATTTCTTATTCTTATTCTTATTTCTTATGAATAATGGAAATTGAGAAGACGCCAAGTTTGTATGTGCTAAAGAAAGGTCCATACTAAGGTAGATTTATAGTAGGAAACATTCATTCGATGGAGAAATAATGACGATAAGCTATTGTTAATAAGATACTTATCTATATACATTAACTATACTGTGTGAATACACTGCATTTACTGAGCTGATGTGAAAACATATTCAAATTAGGAATGTAACTTAATCAATTAATTAAAATTGATGGATTCATTCATCTACCTTGGTGTTGATCTGTATCCTGTCCTGTGTCCAGATCTGTGTCTCAAACCACTCACATTTGTGAACCAAAACAAAGTGATGAAATTCACTAGGCTTTAAGGATTTAACGGGTTATACTAACAGCTACATTTTAGTAACTTTTACTCACAATGGTCTAAGGAGTTATGTTTTGCTACATGTTTTTTTTCATTTTTGAAGTAAATGTTGGTTACTGGCGGAAATTTAAGTCGCTCGAATGCCGTGCTGGTTGCTGGCAACAAGAATTTTTAAGCTGATAAAGATTTTATCTATATTGGTACCGTCGTAACTAACAACAACAAGGCCATACCGGAGATCGGACAAAAAATCTCTCTCGACCGAGAAAACTTAAGCTTTATAAGTAGCTTATTCTACCTCTGCTTCTGTATGGCACAGAAGGTTGTACACTAACACAGAATTAAGTAGCAGGACTAGGACTGTTCGAGAAAAAAGTTGTTAATAAAGTTGTTAGTTGTCTAGAAGTTGGTGACGGCTACCGCATCGAAACGAACCAAGAGCGGTACTAGCTTTAACGTTGATATCATTAAGCAAATTGACATTTAGTAGCTTCACTGGCGCTTTGTCCTGTTGTGAGTATGGATGACAATGCTCCAGCGAGAAAGCTGTTTGAAGTGGCAGTTGAAGTAAGAAGACATAAGGGAAATACGTGTCTCTAGTGCAGTATTCAAGTGAAGGGATCACTAAGCGTGTTTGATGTACGAGATTGGATCAGGTAGCAGACCTGATGACTAATTGGTCAAATAAGTAACCTTAGTTTTTGATTTTTTTTTAATTTTTACTAAATAATTTTTAATTTTTACTTTTTTAATTTTATAAATTCTTTTTTAATATTTTAAAATATTTTTCGTAATATTTTTTTAATAAGTTTATTTTTTTATAATAACCGTAAGCGCATCTTGTTACCTTATAAGCACCAAATTCCATCCGAAAGTGCTAATAAAATAGTTAAGTACCTGATTGACATCAATCTACAGTTGATGTCAGTCTCCAGTTTGTCAGTTCTTCAGTTCTTCTGCGTTTCATATAAAGTTAGCTGTAAATAATATGATCACATAGATGTATGTATAAGCATATAAAAATCATAATCATTAATGAAACTATTTACTGATGTTTAATGATTAACCAAGAAATTCTATGAAGCGACACAAAGAAATTTTGATCTCGCAAAGAGATTCAATTAAACTCGGTACACTTCGAAGCGAATGAAAATAATATTTTGTATAATTTCACTTGTTGGTCATGGTATGATTTTGGCTCAGATTTATATTCGAAGCTCGTATGCTTTTGCTTTTCGTATTGTGCGGGTTTTTACCGCCTCATTTTGTTAGAAAGAGTGGAGTTAATTTCATTACAATGGAATAAGGTGACATCAAATAGTGCGGATGAACCTGAAAATGATTGAAAAAGTAATAAGTGGACGATGTTGCATTTGACAAATGAGACGTAATTCAATATTCGTGGTTAACCACTGGCCATAAAAGATGGAATTCCAAAATTATTCAAGTGGTAGCAACAAAACCACTACATCTCTATTACATCTCTATCATGTTACTAATTAAACATCAGACATAATATAATTGAATATAAAATAAGAGAATCTCAATACAGCTTTTTTAAGAGATTCGAGATTTTGTAGTTCCAAAATTGAGAAAACATAATATAAACTAGAAGATGGACGTAGCGAATGAGTGGTATCAGGGAGCGAGGGTTCTCTGTTATATTACAATAAAAAAAGAACTATGCAGTAATGCTACTGCCTAGACCAACTCCTTAAATCGTTGGTGAAGGTACGGACATAAATGTGCACTGGCAGACCTAGTAAGCAGTTTTTCGATTAATATAATTCTTTTAGTTTAATAATTTTAATTATTTATATAATAAGTACTGGGCGCAACTTGATTGATTTCTTCTTTAGAATTACCTTCATTTGTTTCAAACATAATTACAAAAAGAATTCTTTCTGGTTCCCACTTCTGCCCCACTTTTTGGTAATGTCCTCGATGTAGGATGATATAAAAAGAGCTGTATGGTTCTCAACACCTTAGGATGGATCATATATTCTAAGATTATTCTTTATATACTTTATATTCTTTAGTTATTCTAAGGTATATTCTGACAAACTATGTCATTTTAAATAGTTTATGAGCATTAAGAGTTTGCGATTTACTTTACTAAATGTAACCTTCAATTATAAGACTATATGTATTTTTAGTTAATCGGGAGTGTGCAAAAGTATATCAAAGACAGAGCGTTGAAGTTGTTCGATGCTGTGGAAGCGCACACTAATTCAGAATAGCACTCTCTCAAATCAAATGAAATATATATTCCGTCAAAATGATACATTGGGCTTCAAAGTATACTTCTATAAAATCATCTAAATAACTTATAAGAATTGAACGGAGCTCTTATTACAGTGGCTCATCTAAATGGTCATAGACACTATTGAGTAAAAGAGCTTTGGGTACTAAATTGCGTTTGATCAAGCAAAGAAGAAGAAGCAAAATTATCATTCTAATAACGACACCAGTACTAAGTCTTTCCAAATTATATATTCCTTATAGGAGATACACACATATTTACAGTTTATTTTGTGCACAAAACTATTTTTAACAATTAAGGATAGTCATTATCTTATAAGACGAAACTAAGACCTTAAGAAATAGAAGAATCTTAGGATCAAACACAAAAGAAACAAACATGCAATAATGTTCATAGATTCAAGCCTCTATTAATTATTGTTAAACTTTTAATGGCTACAAAAACTATTTTGCTACCGATGGCTATATTGGAAGCTTATGTAGTTCTAGTATTTGTTTTCCATTAAAATCGTTATGCTAAAAACAATGTACTAGATCATAGCACAGGTCTTATAGATTGCAAAGTGTAAATATTAAGTGTATAATATATACATTTGAGACAAGCGATTAAAAAATTTGCGATTCCTACAAATATAGATTGTATATACTATACATATAGATTGTAAAGTTCAGTTATGATAGTAAGATATTTGACGAAAGTGATTGAAAACTTATTGATTTCAATGAACATAATGAAAAATAATGGCATAAACCATATTAGTTATAAAATTCAATTATTATGGTAACATAACATATGACATTTATGGAAAGGCTTGTCTAAAATAATATCTATTTACCAAAATTTGTTCGAATTCTTCACTATTGATATATAGTTCCTAGTTCAATAATCTCACAACTTCAGAAATAGTCCTTATTAAATATATGCATACTCAATGTATCTCTTTCTGAATATTAGTTCATTCTATTAGTTTATTATATATTGAATGTATGAATATATAATATTAAATTAAATAGTATATTAAATATTAAAATAAAAGTTTATAAAAGTTTTTGTTGGTGGTTCATATATCGTTATATATATATCAACTCAAAGATATACAATAACTCTATATTATTCTCCATTACATTCTATAAAGATAGTCTACCTTCAATACATGCCAATGAAACCACAATGTTTTATGTAGGGTGTATTCACTTAAATTTTCTATGCGGAATAAAAAGACAAGGCATTAGAAACACTCCGTGCTACATACAAATACGTATAGTACAGATACATTTATGAAAAAAAAAATTAGTATCTGTAAATCTAAATAGTTTCTTAAAAAAAAGTAACTGAACGTACAAGTATTAGAAAATTGCCGCAACTAATCGCCCACCAAATTTATATGTGGTCAAAAAGTAATCTCAGAAGAAGGAAGTAGCCTTGGCTCAAGTCTTTGTTTGATTTATATCTTTGGACAATTGTAGTTGTTGTTCTCGAACTCACTTTTATGTAGTTTCGCCATGCTTGTTTCCTCTTGTAAATCTTCTTTTGCCAGACCACAAAATTTTATTGATGCAATTTCTTCTTCCCTTTCGAGACAACCACAGGCAGAGTAAGCGTCGAGAGTAATAAAATTTTAGGAAAGATCTAAGCAAAAAGTTTTCGTTTTCAATCTCAAGTCAAATTTAATAATTGTGCATAACAATACAATTTTTTTTTAGCAAAGTCGTAATTCACTTGCGAGCTGAAAATAAATTATTGCTTCAAATGGATGATCGCAAATGGATGGATAAAAAAATTGAACGAGTTTTTCAAAAAGTCATAATTTGGCATGCCAAGTCTATTGGAGTGAAGCTATATCATATCATATCTTCATCGTTATTTTAATGAAACTTAATGCATTTAAATACATATATTTAGATAAATATTTTATTATTATTATACCTTATATATAGAAAATTTTCAAGAGGTATTGACATCAATTGGAAACCCCCTTAAGGTCTATATACCTTCGAATTAAAATTTATTTCATAATTTTTCTAGAGAAAATAAATCTATATTTTAATATTTCATATAATTTTCTATAACTATAATTATTAATAATAATAATATATGTCATATGATGACTACTTATTCGGATATACTTCGTATTTTAAATGAAGCCATATTTAATTGAGAGAAAATATTTTTAGAATTGACTTACATCGGTGCTAAAGTAATATCATCCCAAAAACCATCCAGCGAGTTAATTCTTCCAAAGGATCTTTGACTGATGCCTTTATGAAATAAGTGACA